CGCCAGTCGCTCTTGGAGGTCTGTCAATTTCCGGGAGTTCTCCATCAAGAGTCGAGTGTGCTCATCAAGCTTGGCACTAATGCCAGACTCCTGGTCCACCGCAGATAAAGAGCCGGTGTCCTCTGTCAACAACCTTACAACCCCGGCGTCCCCGGGTCCCCCACATGCACACTATGCCTCCGATGTTGTCTTCTTTTTTTTTTTTTTATAATTATTTTTATAATAATTTCTCTGAGTTTATCGAGAGAAGCCGACATGGTGTTTTTGTATTCGGTTTTAAGATTTCTTGATTGATCAAGCGCTGTTTTCGCTTCTCCGATGATTATGTCGGCTTCTTTCATTATGTCATTATAGATAATAGCGTTAGTTTTTTTTTTTTTTTTCCGGTCCTTTTCAATTACTGGCGGAATTAACACTTCCTCAAGGCTTCGTCGAGCCGCCATATTCGTCTTTGAAGGCATCTTAGGTGAGCTCACTCCCTCCGCCGATTTAGTTGGTGTTCTAATCATGTTTCTTAAAATTTTAAATTTGTCGATTCTAAAAGGAGTTAGATTAAAAATTTATACTAGTCTATTCCCGCAAACACCGATTGTAAAAGAAAATTCCGCAAAAAACCCTTCAAAAGCAAAATAAAATCAATTTAAATCCCCAAGGTCACTAAAATCTATATGGTAAAAGAAAAAAGGGAGGGTGGGGGGGCCTTTTTTTCGATTTCCCGGTGTATATCGGGGAAATAAACCATGGGGATGTATATAAGACGTAATTACAATGTATTTAAAACGATTTTAGACGAAATTTAGACAAAAATATATATATTTTTTTTTAACGTAATTATAATCTATAAATGAAATTTTTTAATTGAAGTCTTAATTATACTTAGACTATAGAAATAGGAAGATATACAACTAAAACTACTTAATTTAGTAACAACAATGCAATTATAAGCAAATTGAAAGACATTTCTAAAAATTTTATATATATGCAATGGTTTCGGGAAGTTAAGTTAGGTTTCGGAAACCTAACTCCCCGGAGCCTAACTTTCCGAAACCTAACTTTCGGAAACCTAATTTACGGAAACCTAACTTCCCGAAACCTAACTTCCTGAAACCTAACTTCCCGAAACCTAACTTTCGGAAACCTAACTTCCCGAAACCTAACTTCCTGAAACCTAACTTCCCGAAACCTAACTTTCGGAAACCTAACTTCCTGAAACCGTAAGTTAGGTTTCCGAAACCTAACTTCCCGAAACCTAACTTCCCGAAACCTAACTTTCGGAAACCTAACTTCCCGAAACCTAACTTCCTGAAACCTAACTTCCTGAAACCTAACTTTCGGAAACCTAACTTACGAAAACCTAACTTCCCGAAACCTAACTTCCTGAAACCTAACTTCCAGAAACCTAACTTTCGGAAACCTAACTTCCAGAAACCTAACTTTCGGAAACCTAACTCCCCGGAGCCTAACTTTCCGAAACCTAACTTCCTGAAACCGTAAGTTAGGTTTCCGAAACCTAACTTCCTGAAACCTTAGGTTTCGGGAAGTTAGGTTAGGTTAGGTTAGGTTAGGTTAGGTTAGGTTTTTTTTTTTTTTTTTTTTATACAATTCTCCTCTGACAAAAATCAGAGACTTTGTTATTACTAGTTTCCTTATACTATAGTACATTTTTTGTCGGCAATTTTTCGAGTTTACATTTGGTTTATTACATCACTTTCTATACTTAATTCTATGCTATTTTACATTATTTCTTATGTTTATTATATCTTAGGTAAGTTATATTTACAATTTGTTATATATTTTACTATTTTAATTATTATGGCTATTGTGTTTGTGGCTATTGCTGTTATAACTATTGTTTTTACATGTTCAGGTTTTATGACACTGTGGTCTCGTACTCTTCTGTATTACATTTTTTGCGACATGGGGACGCTAGAAAAGTCTAGCGATCATGATGCTCGGATCTAATGAATAAAGGCACATTTTTTATATATATAATTTCCTTTTTTTTTTTTTTTTTTTTTTTTTTTTTTTTTTTTTTTTTTTTTTTTTTTTTTTTTTTTTTTTTTTTTTTTTTTTTTTTTTTTTTTTTTTTTGCTTTGCCTTTTATTAACAATTTTTGTAATGTATGTGCAGAAGGCTATGAAGATCTTTTGGTGTTGTTTGTGCATGAGGAGGAGGTGTAGATTTTCTATTTTTACATTAATTCTTGTCTGGCTTTCCAGGTCACAGCGCGCCATGCTGAATCTTGGGCATTGTGTAAGGAGGTGAAGTATGGTTTCTTCAACACCAGGGTCACATTGACAGCCTGGGTTGGCGATACATTTAAACCTTGCCAAGTATTCAGCATAGCCACCGTGACCTGTTAATGCTTGAGTTATTGCTGGACTAAGTTTCGTTTTCTTTATGAATTTATGTGCTATTTGTATACTAGGTAGGAAAATTTTTGTGATTTTGCCTTTATCGCTACTATTATACATTTCATCCCATTTGGATATAGTTTCAGAACGGATTGCTCGTTTTAGGGAGGAGATAGGGAAGGAATCGTATATTGGGGCTGTTTTTCTATTTTGTGCTGCTATTTTGGCTAGTTGGTCTGCTTTTTCGTTCCCTACTATCCCCACGTGCGCTCTTACCCAGAAAAATCTAATTTCTTTGTCAGTCTTCGTTAAGTCATGTATGTTTGTTTTTATAGGGAGCGCTAGTGGGTGGGTTGTATCTTGTCTACCACGAAGGTCAAGTGATGACCTTGAGTCACTAAAGATGTTTATTTTATTTTCTCGAGATTTTATTGCAATCACAGTGGCTTGGTGGAGCGCGTACATTTCAGCCTGAAACACTGAGCAGAAAGGCGCTAGGGTATATTTTCTGCTCAATGTTTCCTGCCCGTCCTTCCAGCAGGACAATGCCGCGCCCACCCCGTCACTGATCTTACTTCCGTCCGTGAAGATGCACAGGCCGTTTATACTGTGCTCCTCCATGGTTTCCGGTTTAAGATCTTCGAGACGGGTGTATGTAATTGACACTTCTTGCGCTGGGTGGGGTAATTTGTGGTAGGGAATCTTTATTTCCACCTCTCTGCCCTTTAGTAGGGCCAACGGTTTACCCCTTTTGGCTTCATAGAGCCTAGCCGCTTCTTCTGCTCTTAGCTCGAGTGGCAGCAGGCCTGCAAGTGCCAGGGCTGCCTCGAAAGAGACGGTCCTGTATGACTTGCAGATCTTCTGCGCAAATCCTCTCTGTAGGTTATGAAGCTCTTTTTTGTTTATCCATTTCCCGGCGTCCTTGGCCCAAACGCTACTGGCGTACAGTATTATAGGCTCGGCCACCGCCGTGTAGATAGTCCTGACGATCTCGGAATTCAAACCCCATGTTAATTTCGCTGCTCTTGCCAATGGTTTGTAGATGTTTGCGACTTTTCTAATTGTATTTCTTATATGTTCGTTAAATGTCAGTTTGTTATCTATTGTTACTCCTAAAATTTTGATTTTTTCAACTAATTCGATTGGTTTCTCGCCCATGTGTATAATTGGAGTGTCAAATTTTAATTTTCTTGTTACGATCATCGCTTGGGTTTTATGCGGTGCGAATTTAAGTTTATTTTTGACACCCCATTCATACACATGGTCGAGAACCTCTCTTGCTTTTTGTTCTATTGTTTTGGTTTGTTTATCCGAGATCATCACGACTATATCATCCGCGAAGGCCTGGACATGTACGCCATATTTTTCCACTTCGGTTAGGAGTGGGTCTAGCAGGATGTTCCAGAAAGTGGGGCCCGCTATTGATCCCTGTACACATCCCTTAGTTGTTTGTCTTACGTGCTTTTCACCGGCGTATCGCACCTCCACTGTGCGATCAGTGAGGTAACTACTTACTATTTTAAGCAAATTTGGGGGACATTTCTTTTTTATCAGCCCGCTTTTTATGGACGGCCACCATGCACTATCGAAGGCTCCCTCTATATCGAGGGATATGACTGCTACAATATTTTTGTCTGTTATATCCGCTCGGATATGATTTACCATATCATAGAGGGAGTCTTCTGTGCTTCTCTGTGGCATAAATCCGTATTGACGGGTGTTGAGTGTAGGCAGCATATGCCATCTAATTCTGCGAACCATCGCCTTTTCCAGCATTTTGCCAAGCAGCGGTAGTAATCCTATTTGTCGAAATGCCTTAGGATTGGTGTAATCACCTTTCCCGGGCTTCCGTAGGATCACTACCGTTGCCTTTTTCCAATCTGCTGGGAAATGCGATAGTTCTAAGCATTTATTAGCTATTTCCAGAAATATTTCTGGATCTGCTTCGAATGCTTTTAGGCAGATGTCCGCTGTTAAGCCGTCCCCACCAGGAGCCTTTTTTGGGTTAAAGCTGTTTACGACACTTTTTATTTCGCTTGTTGTAAAAGGTGGATCGTCTTCGGCTCCTGTTTCGGTACCGGTAGCAATGGCTCTGATTTGTCTCTGTGACGGTGTGTCGTCCTCGGGGTTGTCTTGCGGAAAAAAGGTTTCGGCCAGAAGTTCGACGGATTCTGCAGGAGACAGCATCGAATCATTTCTCATTAGCGTCTGGTCTTCATGGTTCACCGTCGTCCTTCTCAGGACACGGTATATACCATCCCAAATGCTCTCGCGATCCTGTTTTCCGCAGAACTCCTTCCAGCCTCTGATCTGTTCCTTTTCCGCAGTAGCCTCATACTTGTGTTTGGCTTCGAGGTATGTTCCTACGACGTACTCACGTCGGGAGGGGGCCGAGCAGGATATCCTTCGCTTCTTTGTCGTCATGTTCCTTTTTAATTTCTCTAATTCTTGTGTCCACCAGGGTATTTTTATCCTATTGTTTGTTTTCTTCTTTGGTATGTATTCTAAACTTGTTAATTTTATTTGCTCTATGTACGATTTTACTGTTGATTCTAATTCAGATATATTATTTACTTTTGATATTTCTATTTTATTTAGTTTATTATCTTTAAATTTTGTTTTTAGTTTGTTTATAAATTCAAGCCAATCCGTGTTTTTTGTGTTAAAGATCCTGGTGGACCCAAGGGGAAC